GTACTTGGGGCAAAGACAAAGAAACGTTGCTGGCAACATACAAGGCAATAGGCCGGCCGGTTTTGAACTACGCAGCGCCAGTGTGGTCGCCAGGGACTAGTAGGACGCAGTGGACGAAGCTACAGACTGTACAGAACACCGCACTCAGGACAGCGACAGGATGCCTCCTGATGTCGCCTGAACACCGGCGAGGCGCAAATGCTCCCTGTAAAGGAGCACAATATAATGCTCTTCAAGCAGTTCCTAATCGGGAGCCACAGAAGTGGATAAATGAACATTTAGAGTAGAGTACAACAACAACAGTAGCATTTAGAGCTAAATGTGCTTTTACCCGTAAGCAAAAACAGCCCATAAGCCATTTTTTGCTCTCTCAGGAGTCCACAGGGCAGCATTTTGGGCACACTATTTTTCATACTATTTATGACAATAGTTCCTGTGTTTCAAATCCTAGCTTTCTTCTGTTTGCTGATGACTTCAAAATATATTCTGAAATTATATGCATAAATGACTCGGCTGAACTTCAAGCGCTCTCTTCAGAACTCTTCAGAGTTCACCGATTCTTACACTATTAAAATACTCTATTCCGCGTTTGTGCGTTCACAATTGGAATATGCTGCCTTTATTTGGAGACCGAGTCATACTGTTCATATTAATCGTTTAGAAAAGTTGCAATAGGTATTTTTACGCTTTTCTTTACGTTCACTAAGGTTTGCTGCACCATTGCCATCATATATTGGTCCCGTTGTCGGCTAATTAGCCTACCAACTTTGCATAAGAGAAGAACTTCTCAGGCTATATCATTTTTATTGGGTATTATCTCAGAAAAATTGAGTGCCCGGCCTTACTTGAGAGAATCTATTTTTAGGTTCCTAACCGTAGTTTGCGTCGGTTTGGTGCGTTTAAGGTTGGGCTAAGCAGAACGGTTTATGGTGCAAACGCGCCAATAAACAGAACCTTTTTGAACTACAATAACACCAGTAAATATTATTTCCGCCCGAAAAAAAATATACCGTTATGATCAGGAGTAAGACCCCTATCGATCCTAATATTATAATTTTTAATAAGAGCAATGTATGTACATACGTATTGTACACTTATACTCCCTAATTATACGCACTTATTTGTGGTGTATTTTTTTTTTAACGTATGGTAGCATACATTTTGTGTTACTGTCAGCCATTGTTATTTCTGCTTGTTTATGAAATGTGCAAACGTTTGTGAAGATATTTATAAACGCGTTTTACTTAATTAATTAATTAAGAATTGTATATTGAAGTGGAAATCTCAGGCCGGGATTTTAATGCAACTATTTTGCCGAAGTGTGTACATAAATAGAGTGTTTATTGTGAGAAATAGCGCCGAGAGGTTAGTTCAATTTACAAACTTTATCAACAAATAACTTAAAAACTATAAGCCTGCTGCGGCTAAAAGTATACATATTTGCAATCAGGAGAACTCCCTCTACCGTTCCATAGCTACCTTATAGCATCCGGGGATGCCAAACTAAATTGCAGCCAATACCTTCCGCTTTCGAATTCTTATTACTGGAGTCCAGACGCGTCCATTGGTACCGCATTTCCAGAATATTGATAAATTTTAAGCACTTCCTCAACACCCCCTGCGAATTTCATCAGGGGTATTCTCTGAGTCTTGCAAGGCCCTTGCACGGTGCACGGATTGCACGGTTTGCAAAGCTGTCCCATACGAAAACCGGTTTTAACCGTGCAATCTGTGCACCATGCAAGGGCTTTGCAAGACTCATAGAATACCCCTATAAAATTTCGCTATACTTTGCCTTTAATAGGAAATGGTCCATTATTGAAAATCTCAGCCTATGTAAGCCCAGTACTATAATTTGTATGCTTCAACCTCACCCCAATTTATGAACTTTTCTAAACCTGGATTCGTGCTGTATTACTACTTTACTTGAATTTTACTGGAATTCATGCCTTCTAAGGGCGTGTCCATTAAAATGTGTACACAACATGACACTGGCGGCCTCAAATTTCATCTATATTACAAGAAAAAATAAAATTAATAAGCGGTTACACAAATTTATGTATTTATGCAAATTTATCTTCCGGGAATTCATACTTATATATACATCAATACGTATCTGCATCAGTAGGTTCATTGACGATGCATCCAGACAAAGGAACTGAAAATGTAGACTTTCTTCCTCCGTAGACATATTAACATTTTCAACATTAAAAATCATTGCCCCAATTAAACTTTTCTTCATAAATTTTTAAAAGAAACAATTAAATCCGAAAACACCGAACATAATGATTTAATTCAAAATGCATATTTGAAATATAATGTGCATAGTCTTACTTACATGTATATCACTTAACTCTTCCTTTGAGAAGCTATAACAAATTTTGGCTAGTTATCTACTTTTTGACCACTCCTTTATTAAAAATCGATTACTCACGTCTCAATACTCCAACTTCAAAATGTACTTTACGGAAAAATTAAAAAAAAAGAAAGCGAGAGCACAAATGGCACTCTCCCAAACGGCAACGAAACATTGAAATTTGATACTATCGGTATAGTACTTGAACCCTTTAAGCCTTTATATTCGAAAAGAATGAAAATAATTTGTATTATACGGTGTTTACATCAGGCAATTATAAACGAGATTGGTTGAATCAAAAAATGGCTTCCTACCATGGATGCCAACTCATCTATTTATGTCTCTCCCATTGGCAACCACGAAATTCCGCGCACTGGCATCATTCTATTAAAAAACTCAAATTTTTTAAGACAATTGCTTGAATTTATAGCATACATCAAGATAACCAACCGTTTAACTATGGAAAAACTAAAAATACATATCGATAGCACTTTTTACGCTGATTTCAACTATATAAATATTATTTGGCGCAATTGAAAAGTAAGAAAGATATAAGAGGTTAAAAAAAAAAATTCGTGATATTTTAAAATATTAATATTTTAAGGTAATGATGTCAAAATAAAGACAATTAATTTATCTTCAAGTCGATATATAAAACGTGTATTTTCGTTTATATATTTAAGCCAAAAATATTAAAAAACAAAAAAAATGTTATAATTTTCTCATTAAATAACCTTTTTTGGAAAAAGTGCATAATTAATGATAAAAAAATTTATATTATTAAGAAAGTGCACTTAATATACATATTATATTATGATTTGCTTTTGAGTTTTGAAATTGCAGTGATAGTGGAAGAAGTTCTGCGAAAATATCCGCCCCCTTCTTCGGTAACACAGAAAGGAGAACTCTACTTACAGGTCTATTCTGCGCTGGTAATAAAAAGTTTGTAACCGGTAAATAAAGTTCCTGTCAAGATTTAAACCCTTTTCGCATTCTGTGTACTCTTGTAACCGGTAAATTTTGTTACCATCTTAAGCTGGTAACAAATTATTGCCCCGTGAAATATGCAATGCCAGGATTTGCAAAATTCTTCATAGCTGAATTGATGAATATTTTAACTGCATTACCACCGTACCTAGAATCGCGGTGACAAGAACTGGTAACATTTTTTGGTAATACAATTTTCCGGTTACAAAATCTTCGGTAACGTGCAGAATAGACCTGTTAGTGAGGGTTATAATCCCTAAGTGCGGCCGAAGGCCGCCTACGCAGAAAGGTGTTCCCGGCAAAAGGTGTTCAGCTCCCCTTATTCGGCAACACAGAAAGGAGAATTCTACTTAGTGAGGGTTATAATCCCTAAGTGTGGCCGTAGGCCGCCTACTCAAAAAGGTGTTCTCTGCAAAAGGTGTTCAGCCACCCTTCTTCGGCAGCACAGAAAGGAGAATTCTACTTAGTGAGGGTTATAATCCCCAAGTGCGGCCGAAGGCCGCCTACGCAGAAAGGTGTTCTCTCCAAAGGTGTTCAGCTCCCCTTCTTCGCCAACACGGGAAGGAAAATTCTACTTCGTGAGGGTTATAATCCCTAAGTGCGGCCGAAGGCCACCTACGCAGACAAATTATCTCTGCAAAAGGTCTTAAGCCCCCCTTCTTCGGCAACACAGAAAGGAGAATTCTACTTAGTGAGGGGTAATAATCCCTAAGTGCGCCTACTCAGAAAGGTGTTCTGGGCAAAAGAAACTATGATATCACCTCACACTTGCCACTTGCTTGTAAATGCTTTTAATCTTGGTATCACTAAATTCTTAGACCTCAATAGCAAATCATAATAATAAAATATGTATATATTAAAGGTAAAAACTTGCACTTTCTAAGTTATATACATTTCTTTAGCATTGTTAATGCACTTTTTTCTAAAAATGGTTATTTTACGAAAAAAATTTTACATTTTAATTCTTTGTTATCATTTTTGGTTTAAATATATAAACAAGCATACACATTTTTTATATTAACTTGGAGATAGATTAATTGGTTTTATTTTAACGTCATTACTTTTACAATCGGTTACGTGGTTTAGAAAATATTAATATTTTAAAATATCGAAAAAAATGTTAACCTCTTATATCTTCTTTACTTTTCAATTGCGCCAAATAGTATTTATATAGTTGAAATCAGCGTAAAAAGTACTATCTGTCTGCATTTTTAGTTTGCCCATAGCTGAACGGTTGGTTATCTTGATGTGTTCCGAATTTATTAACGAATGTAGTTACATACAATATTTAAATGTTAAATTTTTTCACAAATTTTTTATAAACATATCTCTTATTGTATAACATACGCCATATAAGTCAAAGTCAAATTCGGGCAAAACTCACAAAGATTCAACAAATTAAAAAAAATCCTCACAATTTTTAACCTTTCACTCGTAATTTTTAGAAGCCAATTTAATTTTAGTATAATAATGTGCACGTTTGAAGGGTTAAAAATTACTGTTGATTTTTGATATTCTTCGACTGCGGCCTTTCGCACTTTCTTCCTCTCGAATTGCTTGATTAAATAAAGATTACAGATTAGACATATGTATGTGTATATATTATAAATATTGACTTCCATGTCTATCCTTAATATTTTGTTATTGTCATTTTTCTTTTCGTACAGTAGTTTTAGAGGTTCGAACAGTACGTCCGATACAGTATTTATTTGCTCATTTATTATTTGTTCTTTGAAGGTCTTCTGTTTATATGTGACACGTAAAGTTAAAAGGGACCTACGCTCAGAAAAAACGATTTCGAGAAAAACGACTTTGAAGTTTACCAAGTTGATTTTGATCCTTCTGAACGTTTTAATGGATTGAAACTCGTTCCTCTGGGGTTTTCCGGGTCGCTGATTACGAATCCGATGTTCGTTTTTAAAAATTCAAAATGGCGAATCCAATATGGCGGAAAAAATGTAAAATTTCTTCGAATTCATGTGGATCCACCATTTTGAATTTTGAAAAACTAACATCGGATTCGTAATCAGCGACCCCAAAACACCCGAGTAACGAGTTTCAAGCGAATTTGATTAATTTCAGAATAGTTTGTCAGATTTGATTTTTTTTTGTACTTTTTTTTGTTAAAAGTAGCTAACTTTGACGTGAAATTGATGAAAAAACTAATACAGCTAGAAAGCTGCGGTTTATTGCATTGGAAAGAGCGTCCCGTTTACTATAAGAGTCGATGAAAAAGTGAAAACCGACTTTTTCTGACCGTAGGTCCCTTTTAACTTTACGTGTCACATATATTTCCATATTTTCTAATATATTCAATCTTTGTCCTTTATATTGTACACGGAGAAATTCTGTTGTTTGTCCAATCTTCATTGGTGCGCATTTACTTTTGATCATGTGATTGGCGAAGTTCGATTCTGTTGTAGCCTCTGGTTTACGTTTTTTCTTATTATAATCCCTTATGTGTTCTCGATACCTTGTTCTTATATTTCGTCTTGTTTGTCCTATGTAGCTGTATCGGCACTCGCAGGTTAACTTGTAAACGCCCTATTTATCTAGTGGGTCTTCCTCGCTTATTTTCTCTTTCAATATTCGTCCCACAGTGTTTATTTTTTTTTAATGATGTCTGAATGTCGTACTTATGAAAGAATTTGGCAAGTTTATACGACGTCTTTCCCGTGTAAATTAGAACTGCAAAAGTTTTTTTATTGTTTTCTTCTTTTCTGCCCTGTTTCGATTTTGTGTCCTTTCTTAACTTTTCAACCAGGCCTCTCTTATATCCGTTATTTTGCGCAATGGCATATATTGTATCCAGTTCATTCTTGTAGTCTTCTTCTGTTAGAGGGGTCGTTTCAAGCCTCGTTATTAGTTGTCTAAGTGCTACATTTTTGTGTTGCTGTGGATCGTTCGAGCTGTTGTGTATTATTGTATCTGTGGCTGTTGGTTTTCTGTATGTTTCGAACTCTATCTTGCTCGTGGTATTGTTTATTTTAATTGTTAAATCCAGATAGTTAATCTTTCTCTCCTGTTCCGTTTCCATAGTGAATTTTATATTCTGGTGTTGTTTGTTGAGATAGTCGAGTATCTGCTTCTCTTTGTTCCCCTCTATTATACATATTACATCATCGACATATCTCGCGTAGAATTTTATTCCTAGGTTGGTGGAAAGGTTTTCCATATATTTCCCTTCTAGTGTTTGCATGAATACTTCCATGAGTATTGCTGACGTCGGATTACCCATTCCCAACCCGTTCGTCTGTTTATATATCTTATAATTGAACCGGAAGTAGTTCTGTTTTAATGTAACCTTCAATGCGTTTATTATTTCCGTAGCAGCTTCTCTTGTCATTCTTTCAATCAGTATTTCTTGTACGGTCTTTATGGTTTCTATTGTTGGTATCGTTGAGTAAAGGTCCTTGATGTCGAATGATACGAATTTAGTGTTTTTGTTGATCTTCAACGATTTCATTTTCTCGATTAAATCTGCTGTATTCGTTATGGTGTATTTATTGCGTAGATCCAGGTTATCCTTCAGCAGCGTCTTTACCCTATAAGCCTATAAGTGAGTAATTAAATCAAGGCAGAAGGGTAGGCTATAAATAATGTTGACACTTGCTCGGAGGATGAGAATGGTTTTGATTAAGGTCCGTAAAAAACATAAACATTTTTAAATATATTAACAGACATTTGTATGAAAGAGAGCATATATGTATATGCATAAACTGAAAAATATAAAAAGAATTGTCCGGAAAAAAGAACTCGGAAATAAGTGCGAAGTTTAATGTTTTCCTGAAAAAAAGGAAAAAAAAACTGAAAAAGTGTAATGAAAATTTACATATAACATAAAAAAAAACTAAAAATCGTGAAATACGAGAGTTGTGCTATCGTCGTGCCAAAGGTGACAGGTAATAAGATCAACGGAAATAAGGTCAATTGACTTTATTTCCCACCCTGGTGCGAAATAAAGTCAATTGACATTAGGTGCGTTCGTTTAAAATCTCCAGCAGAAACCAACCAACTGCCAAATTCCGGCGAAATGTCATCTGTTCTCTCACAAGAGAGAAATATCCAAAATAGTACGCGAACAGAAAATTTGCAGAAACTTGCAAGTTAGACGAACAGCTGATATAATTTTTGTTTACATACAAAAGTGTAAAATTTAAAACGTACGAAAAGNTCCCGCCGTGCTGTAACGCAGGTAGATTTATTTTTTGTATACGT